CATGAATCACTGCTTACTGACTGGTGCAGATCTCAGTAAGCTGCAGTAATTTTGTTTCAGTCATTCATTGTCCTCTTTATTGTATCTATGATTGAACATGAAGTTTTGAGTCTGTTTAGTTTTGATGAACATTTCAATTGCCTTGTGCATCACAAACTGTAGAAAGTTAAATTATAACATGACTTCATCCAGTACCTCACTAAATATGGCCAAGCAAAGCTGAAGGCCCTTGGTTCTATTTTTGGGCATCAGAAATGCTGATAATCTCCTGATCTTGGCTTATGGAGAGGAAAATTGACCAAGATTTGTGTTACAATTATGATCTAGTTGTTCCTGGTGTTTGGATGTTGGGTGACTAAACAGTAGTACTTATCTTTGATGATGTCCCCTGACCAGTTGAATATCCTGCTGACCCTCTGTGTCTACGTTTCCATATAACGAAGAACCACGAGCATTGTGCAAAGAACACAACTGATTTTTCTATGCAATTTTTTAATGAGACCATAAACCAATGCACTTTCTCTCTGCTGAGATCAAATTTAAAGATCTCATGGAATAACTCAAAGGCGAATAGAATCTTCTTGGAGTTCTAGCCAACATTCCTCACTCAACGAAAGCCATCAAGAGCAAATTATCTGGCTATTAATCGATTGTTGGTGGGATTTTGCTGTTGTGTTTCCCTAATTGCACTTCAAAAAGGAATTCACTCATTGCAAATTGCTTTGTGATGTTGCTATCTGAACGCAAGTTTCTTTTCTTTACATGTGTAAGTTCATCCAGCGGCAGGAATGTTGTAGTAAGTCTCCTGTCCTGGAATACGGAGGAAGAAATGAGCCAGTCCTGTCCTGTATCCAATGGCCCCTGCTGCAAGTTTGTTTGCATGATTTTCTGGAGATGAAATAAAGCTCAGTTGTGTTCATTCTAATCTATCGACAATCTACTTATATTTAGTGCCCGGGCTTAATGTTGAATCACAGCTGCTGAGGTACTGGAGCCTAATTGCAAAACACTATGATGTGAGTTATTACATACAACATCAATTAAAGAAGGCACATAATTCAATGAAGAGAAATGGTAAATTTCCACTGGCTTATGTGTTCACTTTGGTACCAGACTGAAGTTTGAACGTTGTGTATGTGTTCATGAGAGAAAATGAAAGAATATGGGAGAAATGGAACAAGTTGTGCCAGCATGCAGATGTCCTGCTATTTTCATTCATGGGAATGTAAACATCATTGACAAAACAATATTTGCTACCTGCCCCAAATTGCTCTCAAAGATGGTAATGAGCATCCTTCTTCACATGCTGCTGTAGGTACACCCATGGTGCTTTTAGGTGGAAAGTTCCAGAATTTGACAGAGTGATAGTAAAAGAACGGTGATATAGCTCAACGTCAGAATGGTGTGCGACTTGGAGGGGAACCTGAAGTGCTGGTGTCTGCAAGCGTCTGCTGTTGTGCCCTTTATAGGTAGTAGAGCTTGTGGATTTGGAAGTACAGTTAGGGAGCCATAGCAAACTGCTGCAGTGCACCTTGTGGATGCTACAAACTACAACAACTACTCTGCACCAGTGGTGGAGGAAATAGATGTATATGGCAGCGTATGGGATACTGATTAAGATGGCTGCTTTGTCCTGGATGGTGTTGAGTTTCATTAGTGTCATTGGAGATGTACTCACCTAGGCAAATGAACAGTATGTTCCATCACATTCCCAACTTCCGCTTTGTAGATGCGGAACAGGGTTTGGGTGGTCAGAAGGTGAGTTACGCAGCACCGAATTTCCGGCCCTGCTCTTGTAACTAATGTATTTACGAAGCATTTGCATTTACACAGTTCAGTTTCTAGTCAGTGATAAATGTGAAGGGGAGACAGATTCTTTATCGTTGGAGGTGGTCACTGCCTGGCATTTGTGTGGTGTGAACCTGTTCACTTGTGACTTATTAGTTGAAGCCTTACTCATCCAAAGCAAGTTACTGTCTCACTTTACTGATACTTGGGGTTCTAGTCTACTTTCTGAATCTGTTGGAAATGTTGCATCTGTATATTTCTTGTAATCTGAACTTCTTTCCAATCGGACAATCTGGGGCTCTGGATTTCTAGCCCAGTAACATTCCCACTGCAAAATCATAAATTTTTACTTTTTAAAGAAATCTATAATCGCTGCATTAATTTTTAGTTTCTCAGTTACTTATGTCTTCGTTTGCAGAGGTTAATTGCAGTGCCACAAATTGCAATTAGAATGGTTATTTTCTTGCCTGCTTCCATCCCTGCCCTGTCTCTCCTGAAGATATTAAAACGTTACTGTGGTTCACTTGGTAGAGCTCTCCCTTTTGAGAAAGATTTGGGTTTACTCCAGAGGCCTGACCACAAAAAATACAGGCTGAGTCTCCAGGGCTGTACTGAGGGATTGCTACACTGTTGGAAGATGCTGTCTTTAGATGTGTTGTGAAATTCTACACCTGTCTGTCCCCTCTGGTGGATGTATAAGATCCTGTGTCATTTTTCAAAGAGCAGCAGGGGCTTGCTCTGCTGTCCTGACCAATATATATCCCTTAACAATACGGCTAAAACAGGTTATCACTTTGTTTGTGGGAGCTTACTGTGCACAAATTGGCTGCCTTGTTTCCTACTGACAATAGTGACTCCATTTTAAAAGTACTTAATGCACTTTGGGGAATCCTGAGATAGCGAGGTGCACGAGATAAATGCAACTGTTTTGTTCTTTTCTTCTTCTCTTCCATTTGTGCTCCCTTTCAATTTAATTTCCTTCTGATTGCCGACTGAACCATTCTCTCCCTCTAGTGCCCATTACACAAAATCCGAGCAATGATAATCAAAATCCCACAGGAGACATAAGCTGTCTCTGGTCGTCCAGTTAGCAGGGTTGGAAGAGTGATGCAGGGTGCTGGGGAAGGACTGTGTTTGATTTTTTTTAGAGAGGATCTGTCAGGGAGAGAACAGTGTAAATGAAAGAAATATCAGAGCTTGAAGAACAGGCAATGATCTGGTGCATATATGTTGAGAAGCAGTGTGTGATTTCAAGAAGATGAAGAGATCACAGCTCTTTTATAATCATGTCACCTAACATCATGCAGATAATGCAGAAGTTGGCGATCAATGAAAGCATGAAAATATAATTTGAGCATTGAATGTAATTAAAGTTTCTACTTTTCGAACCCGTGTGTTTGGTTATTTTTGAGGTCTGCAGTTTGGTTGAAATACTCAAGTCTCCAACATCTTCCTATAACTGAGCTGTTGGTCTTTGATTGGCGCTAAAATGACCAGTGTTGCAATTGGTAAAATTCTGGCTTGATTTGAAGATGGTACTGTAAGACAGTCAAAGGTAATGCATTTGGTCTCGTAGTTGCAATGGGCTGGGGGGAATGAGGTGTGGCTTTTCCTACCAGTCTGCATTCTATCCTTGTGCAGTATCTAAAAAATTCCACATGTCTTATTTCTCTTATTTATCAGCTTACTGGCATTGTACACTGATTGATTGACCCACAGTAATAATATATCTTGTGCCATCATTCTTTGGGCATCTGGCAGTGCCCTTAAAGACTGCATTAGCAGAGAGCCATTATTTTCAGAGGCATCCCCTCCCCCTCCACCCCCGCAACCCGTCGCCTCCAAGGAAAGGTTTGAAAACCATTGCAATTCAAAAAGGGGAGAGTGTCTTTTTTCAAGAAATGCATGAATTCAAACTTGAATCAATGTAGTGAAATTGAATAAGAACAATGGACTGCAGGCTTCCTGTGCTTAGTGCGAGGAGGATTACAACACCCTAGAGGATCAAAGCCTTGATTTGTACTTTCACAGTCTTTTCTGCTAAAATTAACAATGGGACAAATTCCTTCTGCAATTTCTTTTTCTCACTTTCTCTGTCTCTCTCACACACACATTCTCTCTCAGACAACAAGGTGCAGGGCTGGATGAACACAGCAGGCCAAGCAGCATCATAGGAGCAGACCTGCTGTGTTCATCCAGCCCTGCACCTTGTTGTCTCGGATTCTCCAGCATCTGCAGTTCCTACTATCTCTGATTTCTCTCTCAGACAGTTTGGACTGATTGACATCAATTCACAGGTGTAGCAGCTAGTTTTATTTGTACCAGTAGACTGGCCCATGCTTAGAATAAGTCCTGTAGAACTGTTATTTCCTTCTGGTAAAGATAGCTTGATTTTGTTAAAAGCTATATTTTTCATAGGGCAGCAGTAGTGGTGGGGGATGAAATTAAGAGAGATGATGAGGGGAAGGGCAGGGCTGTTTTTTTTTCCCTGACTATACAATGAAGAAACTTACTGACCTATTAGTAGATTAATGGGAATCTGCTGTTGCTGACCATATTGAAGAGTGCTTTCAGAGCCTGAGAAGTTCTGGATTTTTTTTTACAATTTTAATTCATTGTAAGGGTGTAGGCATAACTGGCCAGGGCAACATTTATTACTCATCTCAAGGCAGTTAAGTGTCAACCACATTGCTGTGGGTCTGGAGTCATAAGTCGGCCAGACCAGGTAAGGAATACAGTTTCCTTCCTCGAAGGACATTAGTGAACCAGATGGGTTATTCCGACAATCGACAACGGTTTCTTGGTTGCCATTAGACTCCTAATTTCAAATATTGATTGAATTCAAATTCCACAATCTGCCACGGCAGGATTTGAACCCAGGTCCCCAGAACATCACCAGGGTCTCTGGATTAATAGTCTGAACGATAATACCACTAGGCCATCACCACCTTCATTGGGCATTTGACTTTACAGCTTTTATATGTAACCTCTCTGGTTCAGATGCAAAGCAGGCTGACAGACCAGCACAGTTGACAGCTTAAAGAGAGGTCTGTTTACCTGTTCATGGAAACATTAAACACCATAGAGCTGCTATTTTGGAAGAAAGAGACCAATTTGGTTGAAGGCCCTTGTTCAGCTGAAGCACTCATGTATTTGTTACATATTCCTTTGATAACCATATCTTCTGATCTTTCTCTTTAATTTGCTCACAGACTTTAAAAAGGAAAGAGAAAGAATACGAGCATGAGATGGAGCGCCTTGCGAGAGAGAAAATTGCCACCCAGCAACGTTTAGCAGATTTGAAGAATGAACTGAGCCAATGGATGGACATTCTTGAAGTGGATCGCATTCTTCGCCAAACCGTGCAACCAGAGGATGACCAAGCTTCTACCTCAACCGCATCCGGTAAGAGAAGGAATGTTGAAAATAATATTCGGAGGCCATTTCGCTTTTCGAGCCTGCTCTGCCATTCCATATGGTCATGGCCAATCATCCTACTCATTACCCTGATCCCACTTCCGCCTCATACCCTTTGATCCCTTTAGCCTTTACAACTATATCTAACTGTACAGAACAGGAGGCAGCTCTTTGGTTCATCAAGTCTGTGCTGAATTTGCAAAGTTGTTAAAAGAAACTTTACTTCCTGTCCATTTAGCTTGAATGAGTCGTGTGATTATAATCACTTAGTTACCAAATCAACTATTGAGGAAGCTAAAAACATACACTGCAATTTCACATGTTTGGAATTTAGGGAGGACATTTTCCACGTGGTGGACTAGACAGCAGTGCTACTAAATTTCTCTTGCATTATTAATTCATTGAATTGATGCTGCCATCAATGCTGCAGCCTGTTTCACTCTGGTGTGACAGGATATAGTTTGCATCTACTATCCTCTACCAGCTGGGGAACAGGATGGTAAATGGCATCATCCCTTGCTCCCAGGGCTGGACGTAACTCTTAAACGGAATGTTGGTTTAGATGGAACTGCAGCATTGGAATCCAGTTTTCCAAATGTACTTCCGGTTGGTAGGAACCAAGTGTTTACCTTACAACAGTAGCCATGCTGCCAATGGGAGTCAATTTTGTAGTAGTTAGGAACTTCCTCACAGGAAGTAGAAAACTTCATCATGTGCTACGTGGCAAGCCAAATAATCTTTATGTAGAACCTACAGGATAGAGAAAGTCATTTGTAGAAACATAGGAACTGAGAGTAGGAATAGGCCATTCAGCCCTATGAGCATGCTCTGCCACTTAATATAATCATGGCTCACCCCAATCTCAATGCTATATTCCCACTTTCTTTCCATACCACTTGATGCCATTAAAATCTAAAAAGTTATCAATCTCTCTCGAATATACCCAATGTCCCACTTCCATGGCTCATTTGATCTGTGGAGGATTGAATACTTCACGCCAATCTGCTCCCACCCTACTTTATTGAGCCCTCTCATCATATTTCCTAATCTTGACGTGGCTTTCCCTTTCCTTAAGGAATAACCCTGAATCCTATTTTGACTGATGTCCAGCAGTTTAACAGGTCACAAAGAGACCTAGTGGAAAATGGAGGAACAAGTTTGTTGATAGACACAGCTGAAATGGAGAGGAGTCACCAGCAGCTCCTGCTCATGACCGCTGTATTGTATCTTGCAGTTGTGTCGTCATGTTGAGGATCCAAAGATCATTTGATTTGAACTAAAACTCTGGGGCAGACATTGACACAGTGGCGGTGGGAGTGGTGGGGGAGAGAGGAGAACAGAATAGTAGAAAGGAAGAGGTGGCAGGGAGTGACAAACTGCTGCGATTCAGTAAATATAGCACAGCTGGATTGCTCCCTTTTTAATGGCATGTTGTGCCTTTTGTGGAGATCGTCATGACAACCAGCTTGGATGAATTGGAAACAGTAGAAGATTTGTAAATGAGTTTCTGAAAGGTTATTAATATGTTGTGGTGCAATTGTGCAACTCTTTCCTTACAGGTTGAAAGACATTTTCACTCCATTAAAGTGAAAAGCATGGCTCAGATTTTACTTATGCATTGCCTATTATGTTACATAAACTAATTGTGCTGTATCTGTCTGTTTTCACTGGAGTGTTTCACTATTATTCAGTAGAAAATCTTGAGAGTTAATTATTATTCCTCGAGCTTGATTTCATACTTAATGAGAAAGTAATTGTATGGTGGATTTTTTAAAAATCCATTTCTCCCCAGCTTGAAGCTTCTAACTTGGACTACTGTAGGACCCAGTTAGTAACCTAAGATTATATCGTGTAGAATCATAGAATGGCCTCCTCCTATGTTATATTATTGGCTCATAATGCATGTCCTGGCTCTCTAGTGGAGTAATACAGTTAATCCACCCTCCTGCTTAGTTCTATAGGACTTCCCCTTAAACTGTTTATCCAAACCTTGTTCTAGATCATAACACTTCAGTGTCAAAATGTCAATCATTCTGAACCCATGTTCCCTGCTTCCGGGCTAATTTATAACCGGCAACCATAATTATTTTATTCACTGTATTAACTGATTTGAATAAATATCCCTTTAACCTTCCGAGGTGAGAGTGACTATCCTTGAAATCAGGGCCAGAATTATAAGTGTCGCAGCAAGGAGCCCTAGTGAATCTGGAGTCAATGGGAATCGGAGGGAGGGATTGGAAGCTCACTGGTGGTTGGAGTCATACTTGGTACAAAGGAAGATGATTGTGGTTGTTTGAAGTCAGTCATATCAGCTTTAGGACATCTCCGCAGGTGCTCCTCAGGGTAGTGTCCGAGGCCCACCATGGAGGTGATGGCCTACTGGTACTATCGCTGGGTTGTTAATGCAGACACCCAAGATAATGTTCTGAAGACCCGGGTTTGAATCCTGTCATGGTACGCGGTGGAATTAGAGTTAAATAAATAAAAATCTGGAATTAAGAGTCTAATCATGACCGCTAATCCATTGTCAATTGTCGGAAACACCCATTCAGCTCACTAATGTCCTTTTAGAGAAGGAAGCTGCCATCCTTACCTGGTCTGGCCTACAAGTGATTCCAGACCCACAACAGTGTGATTGACTGTTAACTGCCCTCTGGGCAATTGGGGATGGGCAATAAATGCTGCCTAGCCAGCGACGCCCTCATCCCGTGAATGAATAAAAAAATAAACCTTTCACCTGCCTCATTAATGACCTTCTCTCCATCATAAGGTCAGAAGTGGCTATGTGCAGACATCTGCGAACAATGTTCAGCATCATTCGCACTTTCTCAGATACTGAAGCAGCCCGTGTTCAAATGCAGCAAGACCTGGACAGTATCTACATTTGGACTGACAAGTGGCAAATAACATTCACACCACACAAGTGCCAGGCAATGCCATCCCCAATAAGAGAGAATCTAACTGTTCCTAGATTCTCTCTTATTGGGGATGGCATTGCCTGGTACTTGTGAGGTGTGAATGTTACTTGCCACTTCTCAGCCCAAATGTGGATATTGTCCATGTCTTGCTGCACTTGGACATTGGCCATACCGAATAAGAGAGAATCTAACTGTTCTTCCTTTCGACATTCAATGGCATTACCATTGCTGAAATCCCCACTATCAACATCCTGAGCATTATCATCAACCATAAACTGAACAGGACTGACCAGATAAATACAATGGCTACAAGAGCAGGTCAGAGGCTAGAAATACTGCAGTGAGTAACTCACGTCCTGACTCCCAGTCCCTGTCCACCATCTACGAGGCACAAGTCAGGAGTGTGATGGAATACTCCTTACTTGCCTGAACGAGTACAGCTCCAATAATACTCAAGAAGCTTAACAACATCCAAGATAAAGCAGCCCATTTGATTGGCATCTCTTCCCAAACATTCACTCCCTCCAGCACTGTCACTTGGTAGCAGCAATGTGTACAATACAACAGATACAGTGCAGAAATTTACCAAGGTCCCTTAGACAGCACCTTCCAAACCCACAACCACTACTGCCTAAAGGACAAAGGCAACAGACGCATAGGAATACCACCACCTGCAAATTCCCCTCAAGTCACTCATGATACTGACTTGGAATTACAATGCATTTTCTTCAGCATCACTGGATCAATATCCTGGAACCCCGTCCTTAATGACATTGTGTGTCTACCTACGCCAAATGGACCATAGTGGTTCAAGAAGGCAGCTCACCACCACCTTCTCAAGGGTAACTAGAGATGAGCAGTAAATGCTGACCCAGTCAGCAAATGCCCATATATCGTGAATGAATAAAAAAACTTCTCTCTGGTCTAAGGAAAACAGTGCCAGCTTCTTGGGTCCCTCTGCATAATTGAAGTCTCACATCATAGCCACTTCTGGTCCTGGAGCAGAGCTGAAAACTGGATTAGGATATTTCCCAGAGGTGGACCACTGCTACCTTTTACACCCCTATCCACCTATCCCAGGCAATAAGCAGTCAGATCTGTGATGAGTTAGTCTTCCCAGTTGATGTCCTATGTTTGCAAAGCCTTGGTTGGAGAGATGTTCCTGAATGCGATCTAGAGACCCATTGCTTAATAGGTGCATCCAGGGGACACAATAGGATTGGCCAGGGCTGAGGTGCCCTACAGTATGGCACCATCTTGTGACACGCATCTTGTGCTTCTGAACTCTCACATGAAGACCCAGCCAAAGCCAAGTGCACTCCAATAATGATCAAAACCTTCAGGACTGGATGCTTGTAAATTTGAGTAGTTATTAGAATAAAGGAACTTTACTCTTGATGAAAACAACCATTTACCTCTTTTTTTTTTCTTTGTCTATTCATTTCAGAGGGTGAAGACAATATCGACGAAGATATTGATGATATGAGACCCATAAACTCTCTGTCACAAACACCTCACCGCTCGCATCAGGACTTGCTTAAGGCTGTGTCCTCTCCTATTGCTCACCAGTCATCGTTCTTGCCTCAGCATTTGGCTGTCCAGCAGAAGCTGCCTCAAACCCAGGCACAAGTGCAAATCCAGCCCCAGGCTTTAGCTCCATCACAGACAGTAGTGCCAGCTCAGACTCACATTGTGACGGCATCGACGCTACAGCCAACTGTTATTGCCCATGCTGCACCTGCTTCCCATGCGTCTGTGATACACACAGCTGTCAATCATGTTATTCAAGCTTCTCAAGCAAAACACATTGCTCACATTGCACCTGCGACCTCCAGCTCTGTCCAGCTGACCACTGCTGCTCAACCTATTGGCCACATCACTGTGCACCCAGCCACCTTAAGCCATATGGCTCACCTTGGTCAACAGCTGCCCACTATCTATCCACAGCCAATGACAGTGAACCAGCCAGTTGTGAGTCACCTCACTCACACCATCACCCACCAGCAAGTAAATGGCACCGCGCCTGTTGGCCAGCAGGCCGTTGTGACAAAGCAAGCTGTGGGCCCTCAAGTCGTGCACCAGCAGATAGTGGGCCAAACAGTCCTGAACCCTGTCACGATGGTGACCATGCCATCGTTTCCTGTGAGCACTTTGAAGCTGGCATAAACTTTGGCCACCGCAGAGGCCCGAGCAATTTAAAAGACTCTTTCCCTCGGTTCTCCAATACATTCCCGGCAACAACTTACAGGCGAGGGAAAGAAAGGTAGCTTCGGAAGACAAAGATTTTGGAAAAAAAAGACTATACATCATGTTCCCAAGATGGCAGTGGGAAAGGAATGGACACTGCAGAAAATAAACTAATCAGAGCAACGTGGAATGAGAACTGCCCTTAGTGACCTTTTGTGCGTGTGCGTGTATGTTTTGTAATTGGTGAATTTAAAAAGGTGTTAGCAAGGCTTTTATTTTGTTTTGTTTCCTCCCCTCCCCTGCCCCTTCATGATTTGTACCGTTCCAGGAAATAATTGCTGGACACATGTCACCATGATTGGACAGAGGGCTCTAAAAAGCAAAGATATGAAATCTCACAAACAAATGCCTTGGTGAAGTTGAGCTTCATTGGTGGTGTTGATATACTGAGTTAAGTTAACAAAGATAATACATTAGTCAAGCCTTTGAATTTGCCTGTGTGTATGTGAGTTGAAATGCAGTGGTCTGCTGGACCAGGCCTGGAAGTATTGCAGGAGGCCCAAGACAGAACCAATGTATCTGTCCCCAGCTTTTTGAATATTTGTTTTTAAAGTTGCTTTGTCAAGACCAGTAGGGCGAAAACATAACTAATTGTTGCGGTGTTTAATTTAAATGCACCCTTTGGAAAGGCCATTAATTGACTGCAGCAACAAAAACAGCAAAAAGACCCACATACGTTCTAACAGTCTGTAAGAAGTCCTGGCTATGGTGAATAGTTGTTCGGTGGTAGAAGGGGAGGGGAGGAGAGAAGTTAATGACGTGCTGCAGTCTTGTTTGTAGCTGTGTCCATTGACTGAGTGGCTTTCTAAGTTTAAAGTGAGTTTAAGTGTATGAATTTTCTAAGACTGACATCATTACTGTGTGTGCTATAAAGGCAGTGTCTATCATATGGGGAACTTTTTTAAAAAAAAAAAGATTTTTTCGCAATAAAATTTTCTGCTTTCTTTGATTTAGGCTCAGAATGGGTCTGATTGGTAAACCATATAAATGGATCTGATTTATAAACCAAATTGGTCATGCTGAGGTGCTCCCTCACCAGTTGGCTTCTTTGGATGATTCTACCTTGAAGAAGTCCCTATGTTTAAGTATCTTGGGGTGTATACTTTGTTTCTTTAACAATACATACATTCTTCCAGGCTCCTGGAGAGGTTTATTATCAAGTTTACTCAAACAACAAAGTAGAACCCCTCCTCCCAGTTCTTTTCTATAAAATGTAGAGATGTCTCAGGTATTTTCAGTGAGGTTCCAATCATGAGCTTCTCAGTTTTTTTTTTAATAAATCATGTAACTCCTTGAAAATGTTGTGCTTCACACTAACCTGCTCTAAAAATGCAAAGAAGTGTAAAATCAGAACTTGTTTCCTTAAACATTCTCTGAGCAATCTGAATTGTGAGCTCATCATCTGTCCTGTTGCTTATTTCAGCTGTGAACTCTTGTAATGGGATCATAATATTGCTAAGGAATGTTCAAGTGGAAGGTTTAGAACCATGACTTCATGGACACTCTGATTAGTTTCTCGAATGCCAACTCTGCCCAGTTACTGCTGTTTTGTTTATTTTCTGTAAGTCTTGTGTCTTGCACCAAATGCTTCCATTTTATTTTTAATTACAGAGTTTGCTACAGCGAGACACTGACCAGCTCGAAATGTTAAGTCAGAGTGGAGCTTTTAATTTATGGTGAATGTTGTTATTACATCATGTTGCTTCACAATTCCGCTGTTTGCTTGTTTGAAGTGGTGATTTTTAAAATTAAATATTGTGTATACTTTTTTTTAAATTCCAGGGTACCTCTATTCACATTAATACCACTGGTGAAAATAGGGTTTCAGAACTTTTTTTAATACCTTATACCCAGATTCATAGCTTACTGGTATATCGCAACATAGTGATGCAGTAACGGGTTCAAATGAAGTTATGTGCCAGGGAGAAAAACAGTAGTTTATTTGTTTTCTCTGAACCTCACTCTGTGGCAGTGCATTGCAATTTATAATAGATGCATTATTTTCCCATATCACCCTGTCAAAGTACTTGCTTCTGCTTGGTTATGTGTAAAGAGCTTTAGATGATGTGACGTGCCCCTGATTGTTCTGCCCAACATCAACAGTCAGTTCTCATTATCTCCTTTCTATTTTTCTGTGCGTATTTCTCCCTTTTGGTTCTCCCCACAACCATCAATACACCGTACCTGTGATTGACAATTTGACTGTGAAGGAATCGCACCCCGTCTAATTCTTCCTTCAGCTTAATGAATACACATTTTTTCACAGTTTCTGGACTACAACCTTTATTTGTCCCCTTTCAGTCTCCCTAATCCGGGTTTATGCCTGGGGATGTTCCGCAGTGTGACAGCTCTTTATTACATCAGGGATTGCACTTAACCCACTAAACCTGTTGTGGAGCTAGTTATTACTTTTTTTTAACAAGTCAACATTTAAGTACTCCAGTTTAGGCACAGACACAAATTTCTCTGTATCTGTAAGTCTTTCTTTTCAATGATGCAACTAAAAAAATTACACTTTTGATATCGTAATGAGTGAATGTCACTGAGTATTTGACTCTGAATCGTACGCATGAATTTGGTGCTTAGCGTTGTACTGCAGGGCCCACTTGCTTTTATCAGTGTTTGATCATTTGCAATTGGGCCACCATTTCCTAAACATTTCTGTAACAAAATATGGAGATGTTCTGAACTGAAGAAACTATTTTCTTATTTGATCTTTCACCCTCAAGATTCTATCTATGGTTGAGTATGAAGGAAGCAGTCTGGTAAAATATATACAGTAAAGGAATATCTTTTTTGACTGACTGTTTATTGCAAGGATTTATAGATGCGAAGCCTGTATGTGAGTGTAAAGTGAGCTCCGTTTCCATTTATTTATCTTTTTTATCAAAATGGGATCTCTTGGTGTTTTCTACATTCACGTGTCTTGTGCCTAAGCTCTTGGTATTTGGGTAAGTTGTGGATGTTGTATAAACTATATTGTATGTCCATGTTGTTGTTTTTGGAAGGCATTTGTGTGGTGAGCTCTATATAAATCTACCGGGCATTGAAGATTAACCCTTCAGGAGTTGAAGTCCATTACTATTTTCAGGGATATTAATAATAACAACCACCTTCCTGTTTACTTTTCAAGATTAGCTGAGCAGAATAAACAGATCTCAGCCATTGCAGCATTGGGCAGTTGGAAAATAAACACTAGTTCCTACTTGTAATCTCCATCCAGCTACTTACTCTGTACAGTCAGTGCTTGTGTTTGAGCATAGGATCCTGTACAACGTTGATGTCTCCATGGTCAATCAGCTTGCTGAGACTTGCTGGCTAGATTTTCACATGAAGGAAGGTTGCTTGACTAAGGTATTGCAGGGCTGTTGAACACATGCATCACCTTTTGAGAAAGGAGATCATAACTGAAGAGGAGGGGATGAATTTAATTCTACCAAATGCACTGAGTGGAAGCATTAAGAATTCCACAGGCTGGTGGTGCAACAAAGTTGTAATCAGCCAGTGAAGACTTCCACAGTTTGACATTTTAATTTAAATGGCAAATACTTGCTTCACAAATGCAATTATGATCTCTGAATGCTTTATTACTTCAAAAAAAAAGTTGTTAGAACTCATGGGAACCTTTCAACCTTTTGTTCGAGGGACAAATGGAATATTTTGAATCTGAGATTTGTAATGTTCTGATTTCATTAGTTTTTTTATTTCATTGCAATTTTATTCTGTTGTAGAGAGGTCTAATTTAAAAGGAAAGATTAATCTTGTTAATCCATTTAAAAAAAAAGTGTTTTGAGGAAATTGTTTAAAAGCAGCTATTCCCTGAAAGGTTTTGAGAACAGTGCTGCAGGTACAAAGTGTATAATTAAGTGTAAAATGAGCTTTGTTTCCATTTATTTGTCATTTTATCAAAGTATGACCTCTTGGTGCTTTCCCTGACCACGTGCCCCGTGCCTAAGCTCTCCATATTTGGCTAAGTGGTTTACATCCCTTATAGCAGAAAAGAATGCACTTAATATGTGGCAACCAAGAAACACTAGCTGCTTCTGTTTTGCACTAAGAACCGTATTGGTGACACCAGCTCCTGATGTGTTGCCCTCGCACTGTCCCTGGCTGAAACCCGAAAGTTGAACTTGCTGGAATTTACGAAGGATGTCAGCCAGGAGAACTTTAACTTTGAAATCTCGCTGCAGCCGGCTATGATTAAAAAGCTCCTGTAGCTAGGGCAAGTCTCACGTTGTATAGAAGCAGCTTCTACCTGTGGTGGGTTCCTCTGTAACTTGATCATAGCCTATTGAGCATGGGTGACCGGGGTTTCATGCACATCAAATACCAGGCTAACCAAAAAAGAATGACTGGGTCTATATCTCAAATGAAAGAAAGCAGAACAATTTCCCCCCATTAGAGAGACATTACTTTTTATTATTAATGTTTATAGTGAATTACTTCACTGTGCAACAGCTTTTGTTTAAAATATTGAGGGGAAAAAAGTTTTAAAAAAATCTTTTCTGTGAAGATTTTTGAAGTGTTTGAATGGACCAGGTGTGTGAAAAATATCAGTGGATTTTTGTATATAATGTATTTTTACTATCTAGCTGTAATATAATTGCTTTCATTCAAAACATTCAGTATCAATGTGTATAATATTCTCATACCCATCTATCAAGCAAGATGCACTTGCCTCAGATACTATAAAAATAAAGATACACCTGCACTGACCATCCATCTGCTTGTTTGCTTTAATCCTGTTCTGTGTGATTGTATCTTTGTTCAAGATTGGGCTTTGGTCATTTTCTTCCATTTTCCCTGTTTGTTCAATACTGTCTCAGCCTTGCTAGTGCACTAACATATTGGTTACGGTGGAATGGAGAGGAGGATTGCTCTGGTCACTAAGCTTGGTGATGTTGTAAGAATGCTCATGAAGGTTTGTGTGTTTAGGGCTGTATGAGATCAACCAGAGGAAATTTTCACAAATGCATTTGTAGCAGCAGCAACAACAACTTGCACTTGTATAGCACCTTCAACACAGTTAAGCATCCAAGGTGTGTCACAGAAGCAATATCCAACAACATTTGAAAACCTAAGGGTGATATCAGCAGTGTTCCATTTAATATTTAGTTACTGTGTATAGAGTAGTTCATTTTACTGTGCGGTCCCCTTATATTTTTGTTTTGCTCAGCCATGCACTTGTTTGTTCTAGAATAAGTCTTAGCTGCTCCCTGTCAAGGTGTGGCATAATTGTATACCTGTACAGCTTAACAGAACCATGGGACAGAAGGTTGTATGGAGCATCATTACAAGAAGGCGCGGTGAAGAAGTTTAAGGAGGAAATTCGCAGAATTCCCTACACATTTGCTGGATCCATGCAGATTTTGTGATGTAGTATACTCTGTGGACCCTGACAAACTTTGTATGTCAGAGGCAAACAAAAACAGAAATTCCTGGAGAAACTCATCAGGTCTGCCAGCATCTATGGGAAGAAAGCAGAGTTAACTTTTCGAGTCTGGTGACCCTTCATCAGAACAGGGGTGTTTGTATGTCAGGGGTACCAATTGGGATATTGTCATGGGGTTCACTCTGTGGTCTTCCTACTCATTGACTCTGATCAACACAAAACTTGAGGAGGTTGGAAAACCGCTGCATTCACTTTAGTGGGGGTGGGTATTCTGAATAATCCTTCAGGAGTGTATTGGTTTCTGTGCTACAATATCTGCCTCACTGTAAAGGGCAATTGTATAGGTGCAGTGGTAGGGTCTCTACCTTTGAGCTCAAAGGCCTGGGTTCAAATCCCACCTGATCCAGAGTTGTGCCATAATACATCTGAGCGGGTTGTTTAAAAAATATCTATCTGCCCCACTGTGTAAGGGGTTCTTGTGGCACTGTAGTAGTGTTCCTACCTCTGGACTAGGAGGCCTGGGTTCAAGTCCTACCTGTTCCAGCAGTGTGTTGTAACATGTCTAGAGTTATTTTCCCCAGAGTAACCAGAATTCCTCCTCTTCTGACTTTTGAATGCAAGTCCGTTTTATTTTTGTATTGTTTCCTTGACACAGCATTGGTAATACCCAGTTTTTTTTTCACTTTAATTTAAACCCTGACAGTTGGTTAAGAAGAGAGCTTTTCATCTTTTGTTGGCTTGTAAGTCTGGGTATAAGAAGAGAAACCGTGTGCTGGCCACCTGTATAAGAGTGCTATTTAACTGAGACAAATTGTAAGGAGAAAAATCATCAGACTGATCCTACCACAAAGTTTAAAGGTTTGTCTCCATCTGATAATACAGCTCTGTTTCTCTAGAGCGTCGGGCTAGATTAGGTGTTCCAGCCCCTAAGTGAGACTTGAGCTCTGCAGAAAGGTCAAGCTTGCCTGTTGTGGTTCCCCACAGTTGGATATCATCAACACTCTAGTGTCTGGAGTTGTGCATGAAGAATCGCCACAGGAATAAGGTGTCAGGAAGGATTCGGCCCCTTGACTAAATGGTTTTGGAGTGGGAGGGCATTAAGAAAGTATCAAGGGCAATTTTATCATACACTGTTACTGTGGCAAGTCATTGTAATCAGTTGAGATGCGTTCTGACATCCATTTCTGAGTTTATGGTCTGAATGTTGCTTGTTTCACAACAGCTGTTGACAACATAGTGATGACTGGGAGAGCTTGCTGTTGGTTGCTATGGGCTAGCCATTATATAAATCACTTGACTGTTGAGTTTGTTTCTTTTGAATGTCACCAACAATCTGTGACAAAGTACAAGAAAGGGTAGGATAAATTTGAAAAACCTTAATGTTTAACTGGAAATATAATTAAATTGAATTTCTTCCAACTGCATATAATATTATAGCATTCTGTAATGAAACTGGCATTTCCATGTATATCATTAAATTATGATTTCATTGGATGCGAATTGAATTGAGATCATTTTAAAGCCATAAAAAGTTGTTTTCCAAAAACGAGATTTTCTTTCATTTTCTTACAGTTCACGTTGAACTAAATTGATGTAAATTTGAATACTTAAGCAAAATCAAACAGAGAAGGGTTTACTGACTTAGGCTGTTCTTTACTTGTCAAGGGTGTCTCAGGCGTTTATTACTGTTATGGATAGATCATATTCCATGAAACTGTGGCTTTTTTTTTAATGAAAAAAGAAGTCTTGGTGATGTTGTTCATCATTTTATAAGAAGACTGCCATTCCCTGCACTTTCCTCAGTCATAACATCCCTACATCTGTGATGGAAGATGTGGGCTCAATGCTCGCTCATGAGCTCACAACCCACCCTCTAACAATGAGCCAGCCAAGTCAAGTCCCCAAAGTCTTACCAGACCATAGGGCTGCTGTCTCATTAGAGGGGGATGACTGATAATGATTTAACCTGAGGACTACCATACCCCAGGCGAGGGGAGAGGTTGAGAAGGACAGTCTTTCGTGGTAACCCCAGCCAGTGTGTGAATTGAACCCGTGCTGTCGGCAGCAGACTGCTTTGCAAACCAGCCATCCAGCCAACTGAGCTTAACTGACCCCCTGCAACAAGCTAGCAACTTGGTACCTGCACTGAGGAACTGTAGTGCTGTCAGCAGTGCTCTCTCTCAGGTGAGACATTAAACCCTTGTTTAGCCATCTTAAGTGGATACAAAAAGTCTCACGTAGGTCCACTGAAAGAGGAAGGGAGAGTCCTCCCATTGTCATGGCCCAACACTCATCCTTCAACCTACATGATTAAAACAGATTATTGACTTATTAGTCTTGATGCTTTTTATAGGGACCTGTCGCATGCAACATTGCTGTCACGTTCTCCAAAAGCATAAAATGACTGTGTTTCAAAAAGTAATTGACTATGGCTGTGTAAAGATCACAAAGATGCTGATTAAAGTTTATTCTTTCCTCATCCTCCCCCTGTCTCTTTCTTGCACTCTGTCTCTCTACTCCTCCTGCTGCCTCAAATGACCACCAGTTTGTCTGAACATGTGGCCATCACAATCCAGGCCTGCTTCTCTCCTTGCCAGGTCTTCACTAGCTGATGCCAGCTCTGCAGAAGCCAATCAGAGCCATGATGCCTCTGTAGTTCCAATCTATCTAGGGGTTTTGACCTCAAGGCTGTTTATGACATTGATGCCTCGGATCACATCATCCATTATGTTATCTACTGGCTTAATTTTATTTTGGCTTTTTTGTCTTTGTATCTGACTCTTGGATAGGGATCAACAGACAATAAATATGCAGCACTTCACAGCTCGGCTGGGCAATCGCAAGCCTGTGAACTTTCATGACTGGAATCACTAAACAGTGATCAGTAGCAGGATCCCATATCTCATCCTTCCCTTCAGTGAATTGATAAATTTGCAAGCCCCAATCCCATGCATGTCAATTTGATTTCCCCAGTCTAAGACCAACAAATTCATATTTCCCAGTATAAGTATCGTATCACCACCCGCATTATAATGAAACATTAAAGCGGGGGTGGAGAAACTTTGTCTTCAGGAGCCCAAGAGGCTCCTAATAATTTGCATATTTAAAAAATTCAATGCAACAAATAAGAAATGCAAATATCAATAGTTGCTTTTCATGGTTCCTCTATAAAGAAGCAAAATGTTATGCTCAGTCAGTTTCAGAATCACAGAATTGTTACACTGCTGAAGGAGACCATTTGGCCCATTATATACTTGTGTTGCTATCCAAATGACCATCCCCATATCCCTGCACACTTTTCTGAAGAAGGGTCTAGGCCCAAAACGTCAGCTTTCCTGCTCCTCTGATGCTGCTTGGCCTGCTGTGTTCATCCAGCTCCACACCTTGTTATCCCTGCACACTATTCCTTTTCAAAGCTGCCTAATTCCCTTTTGAATGCTTCAACTGAAGCTGGCTCCACTACACTGTCAGGCAGTGCATGCTAGATTTTAACTGCACAAAGCAGTCTGTTTTCTCTTATTACTCAAAACCTGTGCCCTCTCACTCTTGATCCTTTCAGAAGTGGGAATAGCTTCTCCCTATCTTCTGTTTTCTTTTTCTGCATTCTTGTCTAAAACTATTCCCTTGATTGGAAAAACCACACCGGAGCTGCTGCAAAGGATCTAAATGTGATGATTGATGTCCAGCAAGATTACTTTTGTGGTATAACCATGTCACTACTAATATTAGGTGTATTTGCCCTTCCATTGTCTATTTGTGTAGGAACCAGGTGCGTCTTTTTGTCAGAACACAGCAGGCCCCTGCCATGCTAATTTGTTTAGTCTGTTTTATTTAGCATTATGAGAACAAAGGATTGGATCTTGTCAACATTGGAAGTTTTAATCAGAAAAACCCTGTAAGGTCCCCCACCTGCAGGAAATCCATTAGCATTTCCACACACACAACAGTCTGAGAAGTACGCCCCTTTCCTGTGACAACAAAGTAAAAGGTTTTGAACTCCAGCAATGAGGTATGTCCATGCTGTACAAACAGGAAGCTGTCCTTTTTGAGCTTATACAGTGCTGTTTAAAACAAATTGGAATGTAACTTGTACCAAATGGTTTGCAATAAGAACAAGCCATATTTCGGCACTTTAATTCACAGTTCATTTCCTTTTTCTTTTGTCTTCATTTGATCATTTCATGGGACGTGGGACTCACTGGTTAGGTCAGCATTTAGTGTCCGTTCCTAATTGCCCAGAGGGCTGGTAAAAGTCAGGCACATGAACACCAGGCACTCTCTTTCCCAAAGGGCATTAGTGAACTAGATGGGTTTTTATGACAAT